AGAGCAGATCAAACAGATGATGGAGGCAGCAACACGGCAAATTGAGGAGAGGAAAAAACAGCTGAGCTTCATTAGCCCCCCTACACCTCAGGTATTGTGCTCAGATTACTCTGAAATGAAGACTCTTTAGCAAAGAATTTCTTGCCATCCACTCTCATTTTCTTGCTATCCACTCATTTGAGTTTGGAAGGTCACTGCATGTTCCATGCCACCATCTACCAGTCTACATGTGTGACCTGTCCGCCTGTCTAATTCCTCTGATTCTGATTTCTTTTTTCTCCTCTCTCACAGCCAAAGACTCCTTCTTCTTCCCAGCCAGAGCGACTTCCAATTGGCAACACTATTCAGCCCTCCCAGGCTGCCACTTTCATGAATGATGCCATTGAGAAGGCGAGGAAAGCAGCTGAACTACAAGCCCGCATCCAAGCCCAGCTGGCACTGAAGCCAGGGCTCATTGGCAACGCCAACATGGTGGGCCTGGCCAATCTCCATGCCATGGGCATTGCTCCCCCGTGAGTATCTGTTTCGTGGAACCCCTTAGTATTTCTGAAGCTGGAGAAGCAATAAATACCTTTCAATGTTACTGATCCTTTTCTCCCAAGGAACCTAACTCATTTCTTACAGTTTCATATTTCTTACGTGTGCTTAATAAATACCAATTGAATTCTCTTAGCTTGCTCGTGGCAGAATTTATTAGCTTCTTTTTATAATTGGTAGAACTGAGGTTAAGATTCTTTATCTGTTGAGCTAGGAATAGAACCGGTCTCCTGGTTCCTAACTCAGAACTATATCCATTAGACCTCAGTGAATGATACCAGATCTGAGAGTTCTCTACAACTGGATAAAGATGATAGACTTTATTTTTAGCGCCTACAATTGGTTTGGCATACTATGTCTGATTCAGAAATTCCGGAGTGAAGATAGGCTTGCAAATTCTTATCAATGTAATATATAAATTCATTTCATCGGATTTTACTCTGTACTCACATACTCTGTTTGATGTTTTCAGTCACGGTGTTACTCTTCACAGATGGGTTTATGTTCCCTAGAATTGTGTGTAACCTAGTTCTCTTTGTTTGGTTTGATTTGTTTCATTTTCTGTTTGTTTCTTGTTTGCCTTATTTATTGTCCCATATGGCATTTATTTCTTTGTGGGCTGTTTCTCAGGAAGGTGGAGTTAAAAGATCAAACTAAACCTACACCACTGATTCTCGACGAGCAAGGTCGCACTGTAGATGCAACAGGCAAAGAGATTGAGCTGACACATCGCATGCCCACTCTGAAGGCCAATATTCGTGCTGTGAAAAGGGAACAGTTCAAACAACAGCTAAAAGAAAAGCCATCAGAAGACATGGAGTCTAATACTTTTTTTGACCCTCGAGTCTCAATTGCCCCTTCCCAGCGCCAGAGACGCACTTTTAAATTCCATGACAAGGGCAAATTTGAGAAGATTGCCCAACGATTACGGACAAAGGTATCTGGTTTAGAATATAACCTAGAACTTCAGGGGTGCCTGGGTGGCTCAGTCGGTTAAGCATCTGACCCTTGGTTTCAGCTCAGGTCATGATCCCGCGGCTTTGTGGGTTCAAGCACCGCTTTGGGCTCTGCACTGCCAGCGCAGAGCCTGCTTGGAATGCTCTTTCTCTCCCTCTTTCTCTCCGCCCCTCCCCCACTCACACGGTGTCTGTCTCTCTCAAAATAAGTAAATAAACTTTAAAAACAAAATCTTAAAAAAAAAGAGTATAACCTAGAACTTCAAAGAAGGTAGGAAGGTGACAAAGGAAATTTAATACAGTCCTAAAATACTGCCAACTCAATTCTCAAAAGTTTTAGGCAATTAGATACACAAGTAATAAAGCAATGACTAATTTCTTTTTGATTTATTTATTTTGAGAGAGACAGCGCAAGCAGGGGAGGGGGAGAGAGAGAATCCCAAGCAACCTCAGCAGGGTCAGCACAGAGCCGGATGTGGGCCTCAAAGTCACAAAACTGTGGGATCATGATCTGAGCTGAAATCAAGAGTCAGTCTCTTAACCAGCTGAGCCACCCAGGGTGCCCCTCAATGACTAATTTTTAAACTACTTTATTCCTGGGATACTTGAATTTTAGCTGATTTGTCTTAATTCCATTCTACTTAAGTGGAAATAAAATTGACTTTGAAAATTCACATACAGACAGTGGAGGGAAACAATTCAGAACCCTCTGCGTGATTGAGGAAAGCTAGCCTGGTATATAACATTTACTGCAGATAATCCATACACCTTGAGAGTTGAATTGACTCTATATCCGGTGAGTTTTGCTTCTTGTTTTCATTCTCAGAATGGAGTTTTCATAGAATTCCATTTCTGTGTATTTGCCGCAGGCACACACTGTGGGGTGAAGGATGGTGATAAGGGTAGCTGTATGTAAATCAACTAAGTAAAGGATAAAGTAGAATGCCTCTTTTCTTCTAAGTTTTCAGAAGTTATGAATTCTTTGCATTAGGCATAAAGAGTGCAACAAGGGAGTACTTTAAAATTTGGGATTCTACTATTTCCCTGTTTTCTGTGACTCCAATTTATCTTCCCATCTTTGTTTATCTTGTCTTTAGGCTCAACTGGAGAAGCTGCAGGCAGAGATCTCACAGGCAGCTCGAAAAACAGGCATCCATACTTCCACTAGGCTGGCCCTCATTGCTCCTAAAAAAGAACTAAAGGAAGGAGATATCCCTGAAATTGAGTGGTGGGACTCTTACATCATCCCCAATGGTTTTGACCTGTGAGTTTGTTAGTTAATACCTTTTAATAAGGCTAGAGTTTTATTGGGAGAGATAATACTCATGCATTAAGTAAAATCATGAAATCCTAGTGAAATAGGTAGCCATATACAGGCTCTTATATTTGTAAATATGTTGAATAAGTTATTTTTAGTTTTTAAGGTTAACATGGGAAGGAAAAGGCACAAATGATCTAAAAGAGAAAGGATGTAAGTTTATATTTGCTTTTGTTATACGTGGTTATTATTTTTTTTGCTACCTATAATAGGCTTTTACATTTCTTAAAGATCCAGTCCTACAATAGAGAGGAAGGAGTCTTAATTGATGAGGGAAAGAATGAAATCATTTGAGAAACACTTGGAGAGCTTTAATTATATCCGTTCTATAATTCTGATCCATGGCTTTAGGAAACTGTATCTGTCTTTCCCCTTAACCCTTCCTTTGTCAACCACTGTCCCAGGGAGTTATTGTTATTAGTGAAAGAATGTGGCATCCATCCATCAGGGATATTAGGGTAGAAAAAGGTTGAGAGTGACTGATGTGGATTGTATGTCCAACCTTAGTGGACCCAGTTTTCTCATCTTGAAAATTATGTGTAATACAATTACATGTTGTGGATATGCACACTAAAAGGTGCTAGAATGTTATGGAGAGTGCATTTTTTCATTGTGTTTCTGAGACTCCTTCTCTCTTAGAATTGTCTCTACCCACATATCCTGTTTTCCCTTCTTCCTCCAATTTTAGTACAGAGGAAAATCCCAAGAGAGAAGATTATTTTGGAATCACAAATCTTGTTGAACATCCAGCCCAACTCAACCCTCCAGGTAATGTCTAGATTACTCAATCAAGGCTCTAGAGAAGTATTATCCAATAGAACTTCATGTGACAATGGACAGCACATGTTCTCTGTGCTGTCCATGCAGTAGCCACTATCCACTTGTGACCGTCGAGCATTTGAAAACTGAGTTGCACTAATACAACTGAGAGACTGAATGTTAAATTTTATTCTGTTTTAATTAATTTTAGTTTAAATAGTGTACGTGGCTTGTGACTACAGTATTGGACAGTGCAGGTCTAGAGCATTGAGGCCTAACCTAGAGATGGTTTCAACTGAAGTATATTACAAGTTGGGTTTTAAAAAGCGTTCTCATCTTTGACTCCCAACTCCAGTTTTGTATACCACTGCCCTTCAGTCGTCTTTGTCTTCAGCCTTCTTCTCTCTTGATCATCTTTGTAGCAAAAGCCTGTTGGCTCACTCAGAAGAGATAGGTTTTGGTTGCAGCTGTGTTTTTAACTAGCTGAATCCCTTGGGTAAGTCATTTAGAACACAGAACTTTCTCACATATAGAGATAATGTTGATTGATAATGCCTTCTTCAAGAATTATGTAGATCATAAAAGATTTTAACACTTTCATCATATTTGGGATGAACAGAGGAGGTAATACCTCAACTAGTAAATTTGCTTGCCAATAACTCCAATAAGTTTAGAAGAATAGATTGGGACTTTGAGATAATATAGTATATGATAATCATTGTAATGTTATGTAATGTTGTGTAATGTAAAGATACCCATTACTTAACCAGAGTCTACTTAGTTGTCATCAGTGTGGATCATTAGAAGAACGTAAGGGATTTTATTTGTTTTAAAAAATTGTCAGAGCCCCTGGCTGGCTCAGTCAGGAGAGCATGTGACTCTTGATCTCAGGGTCATGAGTTTGAGCCCTATGTTGGGTATAGAGATTACTTAAATAAACTTTAAAAATAATAATAATAATAATATGGTCGCCTGGGTGGCTCAGTCCGTTGAGCATCTGACTTTGGCTTAGGTCGTGATCTCGTGGTTTGTGGGTTTAAGCCTCACGTTGGGCTTTGTGCCTGACAGTGCAGAGCCTGGTTGGGATTCTCTCTCTCCACCCCTCCCCCACTTGTGCTTTCTCTCTCAAAATAAATAAAATATAGTAATAATAAAAAAAACTAAAAGTTGAGTAAACCTGCTTTGGGAGTCCAGAGGATTTTCCCCAATTCCTGTAACTCTAAAATTATAAACTTCATTATCTTGGCCCCACCTACCCCAAATCCTCATGCAGAGCAACTGGAGCAGCTCTAATTTTGTTTTCTGTCTTTGCCACTTTTCAGTTGATTAAAGCAGTCAACTACTTCAAGAAAAAACAAGTTAGAACACTCTCATGAAAGATAAGAATGTTTTTTAAAAACGGAACATACTGGGGCGCCTGGGTGGCTCAGTCAGTTGAGCATCTGACTCTTGATTTCAGTTCAGGTCATAATAATTCCAGGGTCGTGGGATTGAGCCCCATGTCAGGCTCCATGCTGAGTGTGGAGCCTGCTTAGGATTTGCCCCCTTCCTCCCCCCGCCACCCTTTTAAATAGATAGATAGATAGATAGATAGATAGTAAAATGCTATACTATCACAAACTAAAAATAACTAATAACACTTAAAGTTTCTTTTAATGTGATTGATAGTCACCTACATCCTTCTAATAGGCTTATTGCTTTTGTAATTCTATTTCTCTACCTGGCAGTTGACAATGACACACCAGTTACTCTGGGGGTATATCTTACCAAGAAGGAACAGAAGAAACTTCGAAGGCAAACAAGGAGGGAAGCACAGAAGGAACTACAAGAGAAAGTCAGGCTAGGCCTGATGCCTCCTCCAGAACCCAAAGGTACATATCTTAGAGGCAGGGATGAAAGGGTGTTAAGTTTATCTGTGTAATTCCAGAGGAACTTTTGCATCTCTTGATATTTGAGTGCTTTCTGTTTCTCAGAATCATTCATTGGTTATTTTCTTCCTTTCCTAAATTTTCTACAATCTGGCTAAGACAGGTCAACATAGGGGTGCTTGGCTGGCTCAGTCAGTAAAGTATGCGACTCTTGATCTTGCGGTTGTGAGTTCGAGCCCCATGTTGAGTGTAGAGATTACTTAATAATAAAATCTTAGGGGTGCCTGGTTGGTTCAGTCAGTTAAGTATCCAACTTCGGCTCAAGTCATGATCTCATGGTTCGTGAGTTCAAACCCCGCATTTGGCTTTCTGCTGTCAGCACAGAGCCTGCTTTGGATCCTCTGTCTCTCTCTGCCCCTCCCCTGCTCACTTGCTCGCTCTCTCTCAAAAATAAAATAAACATTTAAGAAAATAAATAAATAAAATGAAATCTTAAAGACAGATCAACATATTCACTGTAGAGGTCATTTAAAGCTTTTTCTTTTTTAAGTATAAAAATATATCATATTCTGATCTTCCTGAAAGAATAATGGTCTTGAAATTCATGAAGATAATAGTTGCACTGTTTGCACAGTTGTTATGTACATAATTCTATAGTTGAAAAATGAAAATATTGTTAAACCCTCACTCCTGTAGTTTTGTTATCATTCAGTAATATTTTGCGTGAGCACTGTTATGTTCAGGATCTTTCACTACATGTTGTGATCAGAGTGAAAAATACCAAAGAAATAAAACTCCTTATTTGTCGTAAATTTTCAAGCAGTGTAAATAAACGTATACCAACTATATATATTATGTGACTTTCTACAAATGCTGAGTTCTTTGGATGGGCTTTTCAAGGTAGGGGTTTTTAGAGGAAGTGAGCTTTGAGCAGGGATTTGAAATAGTTAAACAGTTATGAATTGATAGAGAAGAGGTACCAGGTTATCCCAGCTGGAAATTTAATTTAATCTTCTCTCCACTTGCAGTGAGAATTTCAAATTTGATGCGAGTATTAGGAACAGAAGCTGTTCAAGACCCCACGAAGGTAGAAGCCCATGTCAGAGCTCAGATGGCAAAAAGACAGAAGTAAGTGCCATGGGATTGGGTGGAAACCCAGGGCAAGTACCTTTCCCAGACTCTTCTGGGGGGATCCATATTTGGAGGGAGGGGAGAGTCCTCCGTTGCTCTCTCTTTCCCTCAGCTTTGCCTCTGATCTTCAATGCCTTTCTCACTTGTGGATGTCCTTCCTGTCACGACAGAGCGCATGAAGAGGCCAACGCTGCCCGAAAACTTACAGCAGAACAGAGAAAGGTCAAGAAAATTAAAAAGCTTAAAGAAGACATTTCACAGGGGGTACACATATCTGTATATAGGTAGGTGTCCAAACTGGGCCAGCCTTTCCCTTGGAAATGCCAAAAGTTTTCCAAGTGCTTGAGGCAGAATCACTGTGGTCTAAAGCATTCCTAACATCAATATGTACTCACTTCTAATGACCCCAACGTGAATCAGGAGCTAGTAAAGCCTTTATAATGATGAGGATTAAAGACTTACTCTTCTGTCTCTGGGGGCTTCTCAGTGAACCAGTACTAGTTCTGAAGAATGAATGAGTGAATATACTTGTTGAGACCAAGATGTGAACTAAGGATCATTCATCCTTTGTGGAACAGAAAATACCCTATTTCTCCAGGCAGCATTAAAAGTTTCTTTCTTCAGTAACTATATCCTTATCCTGATGTATTGCAGTAATCCTCTTATTCCCACTCCAAAATATATTTAATATGTTGTAAATATGTTCTACCTTGGTGCTGAATTAATGTTTTCATTTTATTCTTTTATGTTGAGTGCATATGTTCCTTCCATTTTTTAAAACGTGCTAGTGTTTAATAACTCATTCCTTACTATGAAAGTGATATGAGGATTTTTTTTAATCTAACAATACAGAAGGGCCTTGCTGAACAAGACCCCTACTCTCTGAATCCTTAGTACCACTTACTGTAGGTAATTGCTACTAACAGTTTTTTATGTAGCCTTCTAGAAATTTTCCATGAGTAGCATTCTGACTACATTATAAGCATCTAGAAGGCAAAGAATTTGTTGATCTTTATGCTGTCAAGAACAATTAGCTTACACATTTTTTTGGGTGATGGTAAATATCTCTTTCCTTAGAGTAAATTTTGATTACCTGCTGTTTATTATAGGGTATATACAGTGCTAGTCTTTGAAGTATAAGACAGTGGGATTACTTCTAGATTCATTGATTTTACCTATCAAGCATTAGTGTATTTGCTTGCTTACTCCGCAGATTTTTGTTTTTAGAGAGAAAACCATTTTGGATCCATCTGTTTGTTTGCCATTCCATTCAGGCAGCTACTGATGCTAACTGAAACAAAAGCCATAACTAAACTTTCCCTTCTCCAGAGTTCGAAATTTGAGCAACCCAGCCAAGAAGTTCAAGATTGAGGCCAATGCTGGGCAACTGTACCTGACAGGGGTGGTGGTACTGCACAAGGATGTCAACGTGGTAGTAGTGGAAGGGGGTGAGTCTGAAAAACTGAAGGAGACTTGTCCCCACACAACCCTAGGCTTTGAAGTGATTAGCATGGTGGGGAGAAAGGAGGAAAAGATAGAGTTTTAGAGCCATACCTGGGTATAATATCCTGGGCCTCTGTTTCTGTGTTTATTGGAGCAAAAGGACCTAAGATGTAGTTCCTGGTATTGCTTCAACTACCACATTAATGGCTGAGTATCAGATGAGCTCAGAGGTTCTTTCTACTTCATCGTCATCTACAACTCTGGCAAAATTCTCCTTCTCTGTTTCCAGGCCCCAAGGCCCAGAAGAAATTTAAGCGTCTTATGCTGCATCGGATAAAGTGGGATGAACAGACATCTAACACAAAGGGAGATGGTGAATGGGGGTTAGAGGGGATGGAGTGGGAGGTGGGGTGGTACTCTGTCCATTCATCTACTCCCTCCCACTGACACTTGCTCACACTAGATAATGTTTAGGAATTGTAGAAAAACCTGTTTGGACTGTGAACATGTAGACATTCATGCCTACATATTTATTACATGATGATGTGCATGTTATTCTTCTCCCTGGCCTTCAGGGTGTTTCTGCCAGCTGCTTTCCCTGTCTGTCCAGATCTGGACACTAGTTATGGGAGTCTATTCAGTTTGTGAAAATTCAGCAAACTATGCACTTTATATGTGCATTGTCTATATTATTTTTTGAAAGAAGTTATTTATTTTTAATGTTTATTTTTGACAGAGGGACAGACAGCGCACGAGTGGGGGAGGGACACAGAGAGAGAGAGAGAGAGAGGGACAGAATCCGAAGCAGGCTCCAGACTCTGAGTTGTCAGCACAGAACCCTACATGGGGCTTGAACCCACGAACCGTGAGATGATAACCTGAGCCAAAGTTGGACACTCAACTGACTGAGCCACCCAGGCGCCTCTTGAAAGAAGTTTTTAAAGGGTTGAAGGCAAAATTACACACACACACACACATATACATATATACACATACTTTTCATTCTTTTGCCCAATTTTATATATGTATAAAATATATTTGACACCCTTCTGACCATCATTCTTCCATCCATATTCATTCTCCCCTTTGCAGACCTGGGTTAGCATTTAACATGTGCAGTTAAAAGTTAAAAGTTAAAAGAAATTAACTTTTCTTAATTTTCCTAACTTTGGCCCTTTTATATTTTGTGTCCTTAGTTAAGATATTTTCATGCCTTACTTAAAGTACACTTTTCACTATAATTGCCCTATATTTTCTTTTGTTTTACAAGTGTTTCTAAGATATTTTCATTTGGTTTATCTGCCCTCCTTCTCCATTAGATCAAACTCCTTAGTAACAGACTCTGTTGTCTTGGCATCTGAGGCCTGGTTTTCAAAGTGCTTAGGACAAGTTTTTATTGTTGATTCCTTGTCTCTATCTCCTTATTCCTGGTATCTGGTGCAGCTCTTGACACTTATTAGGTGCTCAGTAAATGTTGAATTAGTATCTCTGTTTGGAACTTTCAGTCTGATTTGCAGGAAATAAAGATAACAGAAGACATTTGACTCTGATACAATGGAAAGGGGAACAATATTTTAAAAGAATTGGGGTACACTTGAATACTCTTTGTTTAGAACCTAAATCTTGGTCTCTAAGTCTAGAGCAAGATTTAGCTATATTGTCTTTTCCAGATGATGAGGAATCTGATGAGGAAGCTGTGAAGAAAACCAACAAATGTGTACTAGTCTGGGAGGTAGGTGATCTTTTGTTAAACACTGAAGCAGAACTTCAGCTAGTTCCTGGTTGTTTATACTGTTCTAGTGGAGCAAAGGAATGGTAAAACTAAGCAATGATTGATTCCTTAAGTAGTTCATGTTTCCTTTTGGAATTCATTGTTACATGTTCGGCAGCAGATTCTTCCTGACTATATTTTAAATTGATGAGTGTATAGTATATGCCATCTGGGGAAGAGTATGGAAAACTGGTGGCAAGAATATAAATTCTTGACTGAGTTGTTTATTTCACAGTCATGGATATGAGACTTAGAGGGAGATGAATCACTGGGAATTTTTTTTTTTTTGTCTGGATAATAGTGAAAGAAGTGTTAGACTTAAGAATATAAAGTTAGGAGTCTTGGCATTACCACTTACTAGCTGCTCAAATGGGGCAAGACACTTAATATCAATTACCGTTGGTTTGTCTACAAAAATGTGGATTTTGTTTCCTTTTTCTATTTGTCAGTTTTCTGAGACCAGGATTAGATTATGATGTAATAGTGCTCTGTAAAATACAATTTTTTTATGGTTATACAGGTCCTTCATCCCTGAAATCTTAATGAACCAATATTAGTTCCTCTTTATTTTCTTTTTTTTTTTAATTTTAAAATTTTATTTATTTTTTTAAGTAAGCTCTACACCCAACATGCGGCTTGAACTCATGACCCAGAGACCAAGAGTTGTGCGTTCTATCAACTGAGCCAGCCAGGCACCCTGAACCAGTATTAGCTTCTGAAGAATAAATGAATGCATATGCTTATTCAGGCCAAGATGTGAAATAAGGATTGTTCATTGTTTGTGAGCATATAAAATACCATCCTATTTTTCCAGGAAGCATTAAATTTTGTTTTAGTAATTATTTCCTTAAGCTAATGTGTTGCAGTAATCCTTTTATTCCCATGCCAAAATACATTTTTTTACATTGTAAATATTTTCTACCTTTGTGTTGAGTTAATGTTTTCATTTTATTCATGTATGTTGAGTGCATGTATATTTTTAATTAAAAAAAATTTTTTTTTAAGTTTATTTATTTTGAGAGAGAGAGAACACACAAGTGGGTGAGGGGCAGAGAGAGAGAGAGAGAGAGAGAATCCCACCCTATCGGCACAGAGCCCAACATGGGGCTCAGTCTCACAAATTATGAGATCATGACCTGAGCTGAAATCAAGAGTCCAGTGCTCAACCAACAGAGCCACCCCGGGCGCCCCATCTTTTATTTTTTTAATGCACTCATTTAGTAACTAGTTCTTTATTATAAAAGTATTATATTATTTCAAAGGTAGTGAATGCCTATTAAATTCTAATAACACAGAAGAGCACTTACTGAAATGGTCCCTTTCCAATTTCCCCAGTTCTTTAAGACCACTCTTTATAGGCAATTCTTACTGTTTTTCGTGTATTCTTCTATCTTATCCCAGATTCCTCCAATTTATTATGCATACAAAATTAGGCTATAATAACTACCTCACCTGCATCCTGGATATTTAATATCCTACCCCCTTCATCTCTTTCAGTTACCTTTGAGAGTCCACAGGAATTGTATCTCAGGTTCAGAAACAAGCCAGGTTCTACTCTAGCTTCTTATTGGAATCTGATCCCTGAAAGCCTCTTGAGATAGCACTTTATGACTTCATTGTGTTGGTGCCTTGGGTGAGAATGTGGTTACACCCAGTAATGTATCTTTTTCTATTGTAGTTCTCTTCAGGAACCCCCCTCACTGCTCCCATTCCCCTCTTCACCTTACCCTCATATTCTTGTTTGTCAGTGGACCCCAAAGCCTCCTGCTTGTATACAGTCTTACTGGGTCTTGTGGAAAGAGTCCTTTTAGCCTCTGGTTCTTTCCTTAAAGGTCCTCTAGTTGTAGAGGCCTGGTGGGCAACTAGTTCATCCCATCTCATCCTCCATAGTCCTTCCTGACTTGCTTTTCCACCCAGGTATCAATCAGAGCACAGACTTTCTCATCCTCCATTCAGTAAAAAAAAAAAACCAAAAAACCTGAAACCTTTATGCCTATAAATTCATGAAGACTCACAAATATCCAAGGGAATGGAGGTTAAAATAGTTTTTAACATAAAATCACATTCAACTACATTGCTACACACATGTTATTAGGGTTTAGAAAAGAGTATATCTGATTTACATTAGAAATTGCAGTGTTTTGGGGTGCTTCAGTCAGTTGAGCGTTTGGCTTCAGCTCAGGTCATGATCTTGCAGTTTGTGAGTTTGAGCCCTGTGTCAGGCTCTGTGCCAACAGCTCGGAGCCTGGAGCCTGCTTCAGATTCTCTGTTTCCCTCTCTCTCTGCCCCTCCCCCACTCATACTCTGTTTCTGTCTCTCAAAAAAATGAATGAATGTTAAAAAAATTGAAGAATTTGGGGTGCCAGCGTGGCCCAGTCGGTTAAGCCTCCAACTTCGGCTCAGGTCATGATCTTGTGGTTTACGGGTTCGAGCCCCGCGTCAGGCTGTGTGCTGACAGCTCAGAGCCTGGAGCCTGCTTCGGATTCTGTGTCTCCCTGTCTCTCTGCCCCTACCCTCTCAACACTCTGTCTCTCTCTATCCTTCAAAAATAAAGATCAAAAAAAATTTTTTTTAATTAAATTTTTAAAAATTAAAGAATTTTAAAAAAATTGCAGTGTTTTGGGGTGCCTGGCTAGTTCAGTCGGTAGAGCCTGTGACTCTTGATCTCAGAATTGTAGGTTCAAGACCCATGTTGGATGTAGAGATTATTTAAATAAAAATCTTGGGGCACCTGGGTGGTTTGGTGGGTTAAAGCGTCTGACTCTTGATTTCAGCTCAGGTCATAATCTCATGGTTTGTGAGGCTGAGCCCCATGTTAGGCTCTGTGCTGACAGTGCAGATTGTGCTTGGGATTCTCTGTGCGTCCCTACCCTCTCTCTCTCTCAAAAAATAAATTTAAAAAACATTTTTTAAAAAAATCTTAAAAGTAAATCTTTTTTTTTTTTTTTTAAGTGTTTTTATTATAAATTTTGTCTTTTTCCCAGGGTACGGCCAAAGACCGGAGCTTTGGGGAGATGAAGTTCAAACAGTGCCCTACAGAGAACATGGCTCGAGAGCACTTCAAAAAGCATGGGGCTGAACACTACTGGGACCTTGCTCTGAGTGAATCTGTGTTGGAGTCCACCGACTGAAACTACTGCGAGCCCTTGCCTCTCCTTTCCTGCCTTTGTCTCTTCAGTCCTCTTATTCTATTTCCCAAACCAGTTCCACTTGTGTGTGTGATTTCAGAACTGTGCCAAGCTGACATGGGGACAAAGGGAAAATACCTTACACCCTTCCCCAGTCAGCCTGGTGCCGCCCTTTATTCCCCTCATGTGCATATGATTAAAGAGTTATTTTTAAAGTTGGTATGATATTTTTCACACATTTACAGGTATTGGAGTTTAGGTCTTCAGGTGATCTTTTCTCCTAACTTCTAGCAATTGCTGTGGAAAAAGAATTTTTGTCATTGATATCTATGTATATGTAAATGGATGAATGGAAGGATGAATGGAAGGATGAACGGGAGGATATGTATTTTTGATGTCTAATGGAAATTTCTGACCTCATCTTGGAACAAGTGGGAGTAAGAAATCCTGCTTTCCTGGAGTGGAGTGGAGCCCAAAGTGTTATGGGTGAAAGAGGGTAGGACAAGGAGTGTCCATCTGTTAACCTTCTGTAGAGTCACAAGGTAGATTGCCACTGGTCTGGGCTAAGTAGTCTGGACAGGAAATCATTTCCTCAGAAGGTGCATAAATGAGAACACGTGTTGTGGTGAAGTGGACACAGAGAATCCAAGGAGGATGTTGTGGGTCAGTTTGTAAAATGGAAAAGGATTCAGGAATTTAGCCTATATCCTCTCTTTACTAATTAAAAAAAAAAAAAAAAAAAACACTTTTCTAAAAGACAATGTGTAGTTTCCTTTTTCTTTTCCTGGAATCTGACTAGATGTGGTTCTGTTTAAGAACTTAATGTTTCTGATTTGATTTTAGGAGTATTGAGGTCAGCATAAGTATTCATTCAAGTCCAAAATTCTTAGTAGATCTACACTTCCATTTCCTGTTGCCTGTTGAGGGAATGGATCAAACACAGGAGCCATTAGAGCTCCCATAACTTCCTCTAGTTGGAGCTTACCAGGAAATAGTGTTGGAAAATGGATATTTGATCAGAAGTTAAAACATTCTGGGGCAACCTGGCTGGCTCAGTGGGTTGAATGTCCGACTTCAGCTCAGGTCATGATCTCGTGGTTCTGAGTTCAAGCCCTGCATCGGGCTCTGTGCTGACAGCTCCGAGCCTGGAGCCTGCTTGGGCTTCCGTGTCTCCCTCTCTCTGCCCTTCCCCTGCTCACGCTCCTCCTCTGTCTCAAAAAAAAAATTAACATTAAGGGGCACCTCAGTGGTTCAGTCAGTTGAGCATCCGACTTCAGCTTAGGTCATGATTTCATGGTTAGTGAGTTTGAGTCCCACATTGGGCTCTGCTGACAGCTTGGAGCCTGGAACCTGCTTTGGATTCTGTGTCTCCCTCTCTCTCTCTGCCCCTCTCCTGCTGTCTCTCTCTCAAAGATAAACATTAAACAAATAAACACTTAAAAAAGTTAAAACATTCTGCATTATAAAATTAACCCTTTTTTAAAAATTATGTGTTTGAAGTCCTGGAGTTCCAATTCTAAGGCAGTGTGAGAGAGCTTTAGAAGAGATGGAAAAAGAAGGGACTGCTAAAGGCCATAAGGAAAGAGTAGTACGATCTCTCTTTATTTTAGAGGTAAGTAAATTTTAATCCAGACAGGTGAGGTTAACTATTCCTGGAACAGGATGAAATCTGAAAAGCTTGCCAGGACTCAGCAATGAACTGGGTGCTTGCTAGTAATCTTCTCTGATTCTGTGAGATTGGAGCTAGAGAATTAAACTCATTTTTGATACTACTTGATTTAAGCAAATCCAGGGGAAAAATTCATTGTTACAGAAATATTTTTGCTTTATTAAAGGATTCATCACAGTAATGTGTAAGTAGTTTATATACAACTTCGAAAATGTATTTATTTGCATAAGGCCTAAAAGGAATATTTATACTATAATATACAATTATTCATTGTAAAGTGTAGTGAGGCTTAACTGTGCCTTGAACAAGTCTTTAATCTCCCTGTGCCTCAGATGTTTTTTGTTGTTTTTAAATTTTCTTGACCCCCCCATACTGTATTCAGCATTGTGTTCAGTAAGCATTGCCTGCTTTATCAGAAAAAAAACAAGAGAAAAGTAGATTTTAGAGATGGGGAATCTGAAGCTTTAAGTGAATAAGTAATTTGCCCCAAGATTATGGCTACTAAGTAATTGAGTTTAGTTTGAACCCAGGTTGGTCTGACTGGAGCCCAAACTCTTAGCCCCTACATATGCTGTTTCATTTGTGAAATAAGGTGGTAGGAACAGTTCTTTAAAATGAATGTGATTCCGAGAGTAGTTCCTATCTTGAGATGCTGTTCTCACTTGAGATACATTGTGAACTTAAGTAATTCCTTTCATAATGTTTGAAATTAAGTATATTATCTCCAGTTAATGGCAGTTATTTGTCCTTTAGAATTCTAGGAAGAATTTAAAAGTCATTTGGAATTTACTATAGAGAATAAAGTGAGATGATCAAGGTAGAAAATAGCTTTCTTGGTTTAAAATGTGAATATAAAGTAACTGGACTGATTTCTCTTCCATGTATGTGGCTTATTTTGATGAATTTCCAGAAATATCTTGGGGGAAAGTCAGTATCTTTGGAATATAGATATCCAATAATTATTTTGAATAAGACAATTCAGTAATAACGCTGTTGAGCATTTTACAATTTTCAAGGTGCTTTTGCATGTTACTCAATGCAATATTCCTGGAGGTAAGAAAATACAGATAATTTCAGTGCAGAAAATGTTATTGCACAAAAGAGAAATTCCATCCAGTTGGAATGATCAGGGAAGTTTTCACGAAAGAGAATTTAAAATAGCTCTTGAAAGATGGGTAGGATTTTGATAACAGAAGAGGACACTTTAGGCATAAAGAACAGAATTAATTATAAATAGAAAATGACAGGATATATTTAAGGCAAAGAACAGTTTGGAGCCCAAGGAACCTCGGAGGGAAGGCATTTGAGATAATACTGGGACGTTAGATTGGAACCATTGTAGAGCATCTTAAAAGTCACAGCTCTTACTTGATAAGTAACAAGGAACACTTTTTTTGTTTTGAGCGGAGGGAAATTAAGATGTTCATCTGGTAATAGTGCATAAGCTGAAGAGCTAGACTGGAAAACTTATTGCAATGCTATTGATGTATAATTTATTAGGATGGTAATGATAACTGTTAGGAAGAAGGCCAAGGGAATGGAAAAGGAACTCATTCAAGAGATTTCTATGTAAAAGTCTATTGGATTGATAACTAGATGGAAGGGGTGGAATCAAAGATAAGTAGGATATCCAGCTAAAATATGTCTGAATGCAGGTTATAAAATTTAATCTTTAGGAGAGGATAAGGAGAAATGACAAAAGGGCTAAAAATGGAACTTTGGCCAACACAGGATGAGAAAACTAGCAATGGGCAGAGAAAGCCATTAGTTTAGTAGAGTCTGATTAAGGATTGTACATGTAACAAAAGCAAAAGGAAATTCATGTTAAGAAAGGTTTAAGGGCGCCTGGGTGGCGCAGTCGGTTAAGCATCCGACTTCAGCCAGGTCACGATCTCGCGGTCCGTGAGTTCGAGCCCCGCGTCGGGCTCTGGGCTGATGGCTCAGAGCACTGGACGAACTCTGTTTCCGATTCGTGTCTCCCTCTCTCTGCCCTCCCGTTGGATCTGTCTCTCTCTGTCCCAAAAATAAATAAAAACGTTGAAAAAAAAATTAAAAAAAAAAAAAGAAAGGTTTAAGTGTTGGGGCACTGGGGTGGCTCAATCCGTTAAGTGTTGGACTCTTGATTTCAGCTCAGGTCATGATCTTGCAGTTCATGGGATTGAGCCCTGTGCTGATAGCTCAGAGCCCATTGGGATTCTCATTCTTCCTCTCTCTGCCCCTCCCCATGTTCGCTACCTCGCTCTCTCGCTCTCTCTCAAAATAAGTAAACATTTTTTAAAAACAAGAAAGTTTCAGGAGCACTTGGGTGGCCCAGTCGGTTAAGCGTCTGACTTCAGCTCAGTCCTGATCTCCTCGCGGTTCTGGTTGAGCCCATCCACGCAACGTGCTGACAGCTCGGAGCCTGGAGCCTGCTTTGGATTCTGTGTCTCCCTCTCTCTCTGCTCCTCCCTCTGCTCACACTCGGTCTCTCAAAAATAAACAAACATTAAAAAATTAAAATTAAAAAAAAGAAATGTTTGGGGTGCCTGGGTGGCTCAATTGGTTAAGGTCTGACTTCAGCTCAGGTTGTGATCTCACAGTTATGAGTTCCAGCCCCACATCAGGCTCTGTGCTAGCAGTGCAGAGACTGCTTGAGATTCTCTCTTACCCTCCCTTTCTGCCACTCCCCCACTTGCACTCATTCTCTCAAAATAAACTTAAAAAAAATGTTTAAGTGTAATAATAGATGACATAATCATCAAACTTTTACTAACCCAGACACTACTCTAAGCATTCTACATGCGTTAACATATTTAATAATTATAGCATCACAGAGGTTAAATTTATCTAAAATTGCTGCTGGTAAGTGGCATAGCCTGAATTTCAGCAGTCTGGTTCTAGAGGTCTTGCTCTTTTAAATTTTTTGGGTTTTTTTTTTTTTATGTTTGTTTATTTTTGAGAGAGAGACACAGAGCACAAACAGGGGAGGGGCAGAGAGAGACAGAATCTGAAGCAGGTTCCAGGTTCCAAGCTGTCAGCACAAAGCTCAATGCCGGCCTCAAACTCCCAAACCGCGAGATCATGACCTGAGCCGAAGTCGAACACCCAACCGACTGAGCCACCGAGGCGCCCCTAGAGGTCTTTCAACTATTACACTTTCTAAGAGAAAAGTGAAAGGTGAAGCCTATAAATAATGCACCAGAATTGGCAGTTAACAGATTATTAGCTTTTTAAGAGGGTGTTTCCTCAGGACTTACTATAGTACACACCTATGTCACTGAGAAAAGAAGCAACTGAAGAGAATTTCTGTACATTCTCACCAACAAATCTACCTACAATCTCTACTAGATTACTT